GGTATGTAGTCTATTTCAACATGTTTGTTTATGGTACCAGTGGTTGAAAATCAGGCTTCCAGGAATTCTCATGCTTGTCCTAGTACTGTTAACGTTGTCCCAGTTAAACTGATACCCTGCTTTGTCGGAGTGAATTGAAACGAGGGAGAGTTGCTCGTGCTGTTTTGCTGCGAAAAGGTGTTCAGGTATCCTGGTGCCGAGTTTCCTGCCCGTCTGTCCTATGTGTTGCTTCCCACAGTTGCTGCATGGTATTTTATACATCACATTTGTCCTGCTCATTGTGGGTCTGGGGTCTTTTGTCTTTCAGAGTAGTTGGTAAAGTGTGGCCCCTGATTCTACAGACTGCTCAAGGTGCACAAACCTGACATCCCCCTCAGACCGGTAGTTTCCTTGCCAGGCACAGCGACACACAGGCTAACCATAGACTGAAACACCTCACCAACGAATCGACTCGTTCCATACACTCCGCACAGGAATTCCTGAAGAACATCAGAAACATAAAAATCGACAAGGATGAAATGATGGTCCCCTTTGATGTTAGGGCACTCTTCAGCTCTATCGACACGACACTATCAAAGGGAGACACTGAATTAGGTCTAGCATTGCCTCTCAGCTGAGTATGAAGAACAGCCTTTCAACTTTCAGACAGATTCCAAAACAATGTCGGTTGAAAAAATCCGAATGGTTTGGACCTGCTTTCCTCCCGCTTTCTTTAACCATGATAATCAACACTTAGGTCAAGGATTCACATCTTATGTTGCTTTGACTCAGAATATTTGAATAGAGGTTAAATATTGATTGAATATTAATTATTCACAGTAGGTATGGCCTTTATCAAACTTTGTACATAGTTCACCTTCCACATAGTTTTCACACTTTTGTCCTTCTTATTCCTGTTTCTCTCAACTGTTGGAAAGTCGATATGACATAGAATTGTATAATTTACAACACAGAAAGAAGCCACTGATCCAGCTGGTTAAAGCCAAGTTTTATAATGCACATGAACTTCCACCTACCCTCCATTTATCTCACCCTATCAGCATTGCCTTCAATTCCTTTCTCTCTCACGTTTATCTAGATTCTCCTGTACTATACTGGTCTATACAATTTGCCTCAACCGCTCCCTGTAGTGGAGTGTTCTACATTCTCACCACTCTCTGGATAAAAAACTTTCCTCTTGAACAAGAGTCTAGGCCTGAAACATCAGCTTTCTTGCTTCTCTGATGCTGCTTGGCCTGCTGTGTTCATCCAGCTCTACACCTTGTTATCTCAGATTCTCCAGCATTTGCAGTTCCTATTATCTCTCTCCTCTTGAATATCCTTCTGCTATTTTTATGTTTGGATATTTCTAATTTCTTTTGTCTCAAAGAATTACAGAATGAATCTGTACAGGTGCCTTCCACACAATAGAGGTAGAGAACAGGAAGGTGTATTTGTTGAGAAGTATGAAGTGACTTTAGTTTGGTAAGAAGAACACGGAGACAATATGTAAAAGGGACCATTCTGAATGAGATACAGGAACAGCGGGACCTGGGCTATCAGTCCATAAGTCATTGAAGGGGGCAGGACTGCTTGAGAGTATGGTTAATAAAGCATAAAGTATCCTAAGTTTAATTTAAAAGGATGCAGAGTACAAAAGTAGGGAGTGAATGTAGTGTATTTTGATTTTCAGGAGGCTTTTGATAAGGTCCCTCATAAGAGGTTAGTGGGCAAAGTTAAAGCACCTGGAATAGGAGGTGATGTATTAGTGTAGATCAAGAATTGGTTGACAGATCGGAAACAGGGTGGGAATAATTGGGTATGTTTTCAAGTGGCAGGCGGTGACTAGTTGGTACCACAAGGATCGGTGTTTGGGCCCTAATTGTTCAAGATAGGTATAAATAACCTTATTGAGGGAACCAAATGCAACGTACCCAAGTTTGCTGATGACACAAAACTGGATTGGTTTGTGAGTTGTGAAGAGGATATAAGGAGGCTTCAAGGTGAACAAAGAACAGTACAGCACAAGAACAGGCCCTTCGGCCCACCTTGTCTGTGCTAACACATGATGCCTTTCTAAACAAAAAACCTTTTGTGTCCCTCTATTCCTTGCCTATTCATGTATCTGTCAAGTTGCTTCTAAAACATTGCTATTGTATTTCCATCCACTACCTCCAATAGCAGTGCATTCCATACACTTATCACCCTCTGTGTAAAGCAAAACAACTTGCCTGTCTCATCTCCTTTAAACTTACCTCCTTTTACTTAAAACTATGTCCCCCAGTAATGACATTTCTACCCTGGGAAAAAGACTCTGACTGTCCATTCTATCCATGCCTCTCATAATTTTATAAACTTCTATCAGGCTACCACCTCATCAGTTGACATCTTGACATCAAGTGAAAACAAACCAAGTTTGCCCAACCTCTTTTCATAGTGAATGCTGTTCAAACATGGCAACATCCTGGTAAACCATTTCTGTACTCTCTCCAAAGCCTTCCCATCCTTCTGGTCGTGGTAGCCAGAACTGTACACAATATTTGAAATGTGGCCTAACTAAAGTTCTGTACAGCTGCAACATGACTTGCCAATGTTTACTTTCTATGCCCCGACCGATGAAGGAAACCATGCTATATGCCTTCTTGACAACCTCATCCAATTGTGTTGCCATTTTCAGGAAACAGTGGGTCTGTATGCCTAGATCCCTCTGTGTATTGATGCTGCAAAAGGTTCTGCTGTTTACTGTATATTACCCTTCTGCACTAGATTTTCCAAAATGCATTAACTTACATTTTTCCAGATTAAACTCCATCTGCCAGTTCTCTGACCAAGTCACCAGCCTATCTATATCCTGCAGTACCCTCTGACAATCCTCCTCACTATCTGCAGCTTCCTCAATCTTTGTGTTATCCGCAAACTTACTAATGAGACCACCTACGTTCTCGTCCAAATCATTTATATATATATTACAAATAACAGGGGTCCCAGCACAGATCCCCGTGGACCACCACTGCTCACAGATCTCCGTTCAGAAAAACATTCTTCCACCACTCCTGTCTTCTACGACTAAGCCAGTTCTGTATCCATCTTACCGGCTCACTGCAGATCCCATGTGACTTCACCTTTTGTATGAACCTGTCATGAGCCACTTTGTCGAAGACCAAGCTAAAGTCCATGTAGACAACATCTGCCGCCCTGCCCTCATCAATCAACTTTGTCACTTCCTCAAAAAATTCAATCAAGTTTGTGAGACACGACCTTCCCTGCACAAAGCCATGCTGTCTCTTGCTAATAAGTACTTTTTTTTTCAAATGTGGTATCCTAAGCCTAAGAATCTGCTCCAGTAACTTTCCTACCACTGACATAAAGCTCACTAGCCTATAATATTCTGGATTATCCCTGTTGTTCTTCTTAAACAAAGGAACAGTAGTGATTTAGACAAGTTGAGTGAGGGACTAATACATGACAGATGCAGTACAACGTGGCTACGTGTGAAGTTATACACTGGTGTGAAAAACAGTATTATTTAAACAGTGATATTTGGAAGTGTGGATGTACAAAGGGATCTGGGTGTCTGTGTACACCAGTAAATAAAAGTAGACAGACAGATGCAGCAAGCAATTAGGAAGAAAAACGGTACATTGTTCTTTATTGCAAGAGGATTTCTTACTGCATTTATACAGGGCCTTGGTGAGGTCACAGTTGGAGTATTGCTTTCAGTAGGTTTCCTGGCCTAAGAAAAGATATACTTGCCTTTGAGGGAGAGACACAGAAGTTCACTCGGCTGACATTGAGGATGGCAGGACTCTCCTATGAGGAGATATTGGTTTGACTGGATCTACATTCACTGGAGTTTAAAAGGATAAGAAAGGATCTGATTGAAACATGTAAAGTTATAACAATGCCGGACTGACCAGGTGCAGGGAGGATGTTTTCCCCAACTGGGGAATCCAGAACGAGGAGACACTGTCTCAAGATACAGGGTAGACCATTTAGGACTTAGATGAGGAAAAAAATCTTCAAAGGATAGTGAACCCTGTAGAATTCTCCAGCACAGAAAGCTGTGGAGGCCACATCACTGAGTACGTTCAAGAAAGAGAGAGAGGAAACTTATGGATTTTAAAGGCATGAAGGGATATGGGGAGAAAGTGGGAATATGGTATTGGGATAGAGGATCAGCCACAATCATATAGAATAGCAGAATGGGCTCACAGGGCCAAAAGGCCTACTCCTGCTCCTAGTTTCTATGGACTCTCAACCTTTGTTGTGGAGAACTGTGCCTGTGCCCCTAACTATACTGTCCCTTACAAACACTACATTCCTATTTATTCTTTCTGATTGAAAAGCTTCCTGTACCATGGTGTAATGGTCAGCTCACACCTCCACCTTGCAGTTCCTGCTTTTGACCACAGGAGCTGCGGAAACCTGGAAGCTGTTGGACAATTGCAAGGTCTGCAGCTTCTCCACTTCTACCTTCCTCATCCCTTCGCCTGCCTCATTCAGAGTCACATTTTTCTGTCCCTGGCCACTGACCAGATTAGGAAACCTTATCCTCAGCATGTAACTACTTCCCGGAAAAAATTGACTTTCCTCTTCCCTGATACAACTTTTGGAATCCCTGCACTTCTCCAATTCTGGCAACCTGAGCATCCTTAATTTTAATCGCCTTATTGTTGGCAATCATGTTTTCTGTTTCCTGGGTCCTCCGTTTTGGAATTCCCTCCTTAAAACTCACTGCCTCTCTACATTCCTTTCATTCTTTAAGGCATACCTTAAAACCAAGTGTTTGGTCATCTGTTCTAGTAACTCCTTTTACTTTGGTGTAAAATTTTATTTGATAATTGCTCCCTTACCACATTAAAAGCACTGCATAAATGGAGAGTTATTGTTAGATGTTCAAAAGTGAACAAGTTGCCACCTGAAGTAGCTGCATGAAACCATCTCAAATTAATCAGCATTCCTCATGAGCAAAATTTCCCTGACAACCTGAAGTTTGTTTACATTTGGCATTTCTTTTGTAGGATGTCGAGGAAAGGCAAAACAATTATTTTCTCAATCCACCAGCCCAGATATTCTATTTTTAAGCTGTTTGGCAGCCTGACTCTTCTGGCCAATGGCAGATTGGTTTACCATGGTCCTTCTGCAGAGGCACTGGATTATTTTTCAGGGATTGGTAAGTGCTTGTAAATAAGTCATTAGATTATAGCTAAGAATCTAATTTGTTAAGAGCAGGGAGACTTGCGTTTAGAGCTGTACAGAACTTTTGGTTAGGCCATAGCTGGAGTACTGTGTGAAGCTCTGGTCATCGCATTACAGGAAGGATTTGATTATACTGGAGTGGATGGAGAGGAGATTCACCAGGAAGTTGCCTGGGGTAGAGCGATTCAGCAGTGAAGAGAGACTGGATAAACTCGGATTGTGCGGCGAAAGTTGAAGCGGGTCTTAAAAGTGTATTAGATTACAAGGATCATGGACAGGGTGAACAGAAAGCAGCTGTTCCCCTCTGTTGAAGGAGCAGTAACAAGGGGACGTAATTTTAAAATGCAAATCAGGAGGTTTCGAGGGGATTTGAGGCCTTTCACCCAGGGGGTGGTTGGGGTATGGAATGCACTGCCTGGAATGGTGGTTAAGACAGGAAATCTCACAACCGTTAAAAAGTACTTAGATGTTCACTTGAAATGTCACGACATTCAAAGCTACAGTCCCAGTGCTGGAAAGTGGGACCCATAGAGATTTACTGTAGGTTCGGTGCTACGTACTCTAAGGGCTAAAAGCGTCTTCTGTACTCTATAATTCTATAAAAAGACAGTGGCTCTTAATGTAAGGTACTGGGAGATCGATTTGCCAGGGGAGGAGATGGCCCTGCTAGTAGTATTATCATAGAACATAGAACATGGAATTGTTTATTGCTAAACTTTAATCCAAAATTCCAGGTAATGTTCTGGGGACCTGGGGTTGAATCCCATCATCATGGAATTTGAATTCAGTAAAAATTCAGAATTAGGAGTCTCATGATCTCCACGAAACTGTTGCCAAATGTCAAGAAAACCCATCTGGTTCACTTTTGTGCTTCAGGGAAGGAAACTGCCATTCTGGTCTGGCTTACACATGACTCCAGACGCACAGCAGGATGAGTCCACACCGACTCTGAGAGCATCCTCCTATAACTCACCTAATCTACACATCTCTGCACACTATGGGCAATATATCATGGCCAATCCATCTAGCTTGCATATCTTTGGACTGTAGGAGGAAACCAGAGCACCCGGAGGAAACCCACACAGATACGGGGAGAACGTGCAAACTCCATACAGACAGTCGCCCGAGGCTGGAATTGAACCCGGGTCCCTGGCGCTGTGAGGCAGCGGTGCTAACCACTGAGCCACCGTGCTGCCCACTAGTCTATCAGGTAATTATTGTAAAAAATAGTGGCCCAAAAAGCAATGGAGAGAGAAGTTTATTTTGCACCTTGTTATCATGAGACTCCTGATTCTGAATTTTTACTGAATTCAAATTCCATGATGTTGGGATTCGAACCCAGGTCCCCAGAACATTCCATTGAATTTTGGATTAAAACTTTAGCAATAATACCAGTTCAGCCATCACCTCCCCTGGCAAACCGATCTCCTAGTACCTTAAGAGTCACTGTCTTTTTATAGAATTGTACAGTACAGAGGCGGCCTTTAGCCCTTGGAGTATGTAGCACCAAAGCTACACTAAATCCCTTTTCTGAAGAAGGGTTTAGACCTGAAACGTTAGCTTTCCTGCCCCTCTGATGCTGCTTGGCCTGCTGTGTTCATCCAGCTCTACACCTTGTTATCTCTAAATCCCTATGCGTTCCACTTTCCAGCACTAGGCCCATAGCCTTGAATGTTATGACATTTCAAGTGTTCATCCACTTTTTAGAGATTGTGAGGTTTCCTGCCTCAACTGACTTCCTAGGTGGTGCATTCCATACCCCAATCACCCTCTGGATGAAAAAAAAATTCCTCAAATCCCTTCTAAACTCCTGCTTTTCATTTTAAAATTATCCTTGCGTTTTTGTTATTGGTGGAATGAGATGTTCCTTTCAATGCTGATTGTCTATCAGATTCTTAATTTTCTGGAGACTCTTGAATTTGACCATCCACAAAACTCATTAAAAAACAGGCCACCTTCTTAAGAAGTGCTTTATTCACCTGACAAAGGAGCAGTGCTCGGAAAGCTTGGGATTTTAAATAAACCTGTTGGACTACAGTCTGGTGTTATGTGACTTCTGACTAGATTTGAATAATTAAAGGAAAGCAGTTTTCAATGGCTGAAGGGTCAATATGGGGAACAAATTGTTTACTTGTGGTGGTTAATAGATGAAAAGAATACCATGGGTGATTTGATAATTGAAAAAACATTCAGTTGTATATAAGAGCATATTAAAAACAAGGGAACAGACTGTCCCACCTGCTCCAGAGGTGTGTAATAGCATATCTGAACAAGCTGATTAGAAAAAAAATTTGAGAAAGGTCATTGCTACCCTGGATGACAGAATGCTGGGATATGTGTCAGTCAGCATTATAATTTGTTGTTGCAATTAAGGAAATGAACACCATAGTTTCTACGGGTGGTCTGCAACCAGCAGGAACTTTGCAGCATTAGTATCCTTGTGTAAGGGCAAAGTGTGTTGCTGCACTTGTGGTTGAAAGTGAATGAAATTTGTTATTTCACTGGTATTCTCATCACCAAGTCTTGCATTGGCAATTTTCGCTGTTGTGGAGAAAAAGAAGACAATTCCAATTAATTACAGTAAGAAATTATAAGGATTGTTTTCGCACAGTGATAGTGTCCCTTCCTCTGTCTAGATTCAAATACAGGTGTGTTATAAAATACCTGAACATCTGGTTGATTAAAATATCTCAGAGATCAGAAGAACATGGATACATAATTGAGTTACAGGAAGGAGTATGGGAACAGATTGAAAGTCGTTGACAAAAGAGCCAGGGGTGATGGGAGGAAAACGCTTTCTTCTTTTATAAATGCATTGTTGAAGGATATACAATGGCGGGTTATGGGGAAAGAGCAAGTGAGTGAAATCGCCTGGAGTGGTCTGTGAAAGAGACAGTGTAGACCTGATTAACTTAATGGCCTCCTTCTGTGCTATACTGTCCTATGGCCAGGGCTTTCCTATGGTTTGTGAATGGCCATAAATTGCTGGATAATTTGGTGGTTCCTAAAACTATCAGAAGCTGGGCTGTCTAAAATGACAATAACATTGGAGTGAAATTAAACAATTAAGTTGTTAATTATTAAATGTTGTTTTTTTGGTTTAAAATTCATTCTTGCTTTTTGATTTGACAGGATACACCTGCGAGCCATTTAACAACCCTGCTGATTTTTTTCTTGACGTTATCAATGGAGACTTATTTGCAGTAAGCACACACAAAGCTTTAGACAGTTATCCAGGTACAATACTTTCAATGGCGTCTAAATAGATGTTGGCTGATAATTCCACATTGTTTTGTAGTATTTCCACCCCCAACCCAGTGATTTACACTAAAAGGTTTTCTTTAAAATTTGTGTTTTTTTCCCCCGATTTAAAGATTTGCAGAATGTTTCCCCAGCAATGTCTTGCGATACAGTGATACTGTCCCTTCCTCTGGCCTAGGAGATCCTGGTTCAAATCCCACCTGTCCTGGAGGTGTGTCATAACGTAATTGAACAGGTTGAATAAAAGTATACATATATGTCTTGTTTCCATACTTTTTCATAATACCTTAACTCTAACAGCTATTACTTGGCAGGAAAACAAAACCTAAGATGTAAGGGCAGAAACAGACATTCAACACATCGAATCTGCTGTAATGTTCAATAAGAACATGGCTGATCTGATAATCCTCAACTCCATTTTCCTGCCCTTGCCTCAAAACCCTTGATTCTCTTACTGGTTAAAAATCTGTCTATCTCAGCCTTGAATATACTTAATAAACTGGCCTCAACAGTCCTGTGCAATAAAAATTTCAGTAGATTCGCTGCTCTCTGAGAGAGAGAATTCCTACGTTTCTGTCTTAAATGTGCAACCCCTTATTCTGAGATCATGCATTCTGGTCCTAGACTCTCCCACAAAATGAAACAACCTTTTCACATCTACCTTGCTAAGGTCCCTAAGAACATTTTATGTTTTAATAAGGTCATCTCTCATTCTTCTATATCCTATTGAGTACAGGCCCAATTGATTCAACCCGAGGGGTGACCTTATAGAGATTTATAAAATTGTGAGGGGTAAGGATAGGGTGAATAGCCAAGGTCTTTTTCCGAGGATGGGGGAGTCTAAAACTAGAGGGCGTAGGTTTAAGGTGAGAGGGGAAAGAAGTAGGGATAACAAGGTGTAGAGCTGGATGAACACAGCAGGCCGAGCAGCATCATAGGAGCAGGAAGGCTGACGTTTCGGGCTAAAGCTGGGTGTTCTGGTGTCCGACTGGAGACGTGGGTTCGAATCCCACTTCTGACATGAACAATCATTCTCTGTTTAAGTACTGAAAGCAGTGCCTTGACCAATCAGAGTCAACCTGCCTGGTTTAAATTTAGAGATAGTAGGAACTGCAGATGCTGGAGTATCTGAGATAACAAGGTGTAGAGCTGGATGAACACAGCAGGCCAAGCAGCATCAGAGGAGCAGGAAGGCTGACGGTTCGGGCCTAGACCCTTCATAAGAAGTAGGGTCAGTTTCTGTGCTGTATGACTCTATGACTAAGACTCCGTTACCACAAACTATTTGGTTTGATGGGAGATTCCCATATATTGTAATTGTAAAATTTAAGCCTACTATGTTTGGTTTCCCGTACTACCTTTGGCTGCTGACAAGCATTCACTCTTGCTGAGGAACACCTCAATATTCAATAAAAACAAAATACTGAAGATGCTGGAAATCTGAAATAAAAACAGAAAATGATTGTGAAACTCAGCAAGTCTGGCAGCATCTGGGGAGAAAGAAATGGAGTTAACATTTTGACTCTGATGTGGCTCTTCAGGGGCTAGAAAATGGGTTTTTTGGTGTAGATAGAGGTGGGGAAGGAGAAATTGGAAACAGATGGTGAGGATGCCTAGAGCAAAGGGTGTCCCAATGATAGGAAAGGAGGGTTTGAGATGTAAAATAGGTCCAAATGATGGGTATCAAAAGATGAAAATGTGTCTGCTCTGCTAATAGGGGAAACAACAAGACAGAATGGTTGGTTTACAGGGAGAGGTGGTTGTAATCAAATTAGAAGACAGTGGTCATGCTCTGAAATTGTTGAACTCGATGTTGAGACCTAGAAACTTAAGTGCCTAAATGGAAAATGAACTTTTGTTTCTCCAGCTTATGTTGAGCTTTGTTCGACCACTGCAGCAGGTCAAGGACGGAAATATTAGGGCAGGAGCATGATTGAAATGGCAAGCAACTGTAAGATCAGGGTCATTCTAACAGACAGAGCAGAGGTGTTCCACAAAGTGTCACCCATCATATGGCTTAGTATTAAAATTTTTCTGATAGTAACACCTGAAGTGCCCTGGAACATTTTGTAATTTGAAAGGTGCTACATAAATACACATTGTTGAAGGTTATGAGAGACTGACAAAAAGAAATTCTGTTATCTCATGCAGGTTTAATGATGCCTTTTTCAAAAGGATAGCATTCCAACCTGGACAATCTTGGTCCATTGTACAGACTAGAAATATATTTTTTAACAATGTACAGTTACTTTGTGACTTGATCTCTAAGCTGTTTCCATTAATCACGTTAAACTTCATTGGTGAACAAAGAAATGGCCTGAAGAGAAGTATTAACTGCCTCTGGCCAAAGACCTTTCATTAATAACAAGTAGCTATAGCCTCTTTCGTTCAAGGATGACTTTCCTTTGAGAGAAGGGATAAGAGGATCCTTTTGTTGAAGCTCCTTTTTTGATGGACCCAGATACCTCCAGCCTTCCATACACATTTCTGACATGGTTGTAGCAGCATTTATATTAGTCTAGAATTTCCTGTAGGAATGTTTCTAACAGTTAGATTTGCTCTTGTCCATTTAAGTAAGATGTTCCTTTGCATAGCAAGTCATTAAAATGTGAACAATAACATTGCAATGAGAGAATCAAGGTGTTTAGGATCTCAGAGAATAAGGCAGGTGACTGTGTATCTCCTTAAATTAGCACATGGATTGTGAAAGTAAGGTGCAAGGACTGAGAAGGAATTATAAATCCGGTTGGACGTTTACACTCTCCCATCCTTCGGAATGGGCTACCAGTTTGCCTTTGGGTTAAATGAAGCCCTTATGTGGCTAGTTCATTGAGAAGGGGAGACTTGCCCCACACCAACCAACAGTCTGACAGCCATTAAATCAACTTGGGACCTCCCTGCCACCTACTTTTGAAGCTGGCATAAGCATAATGCCTCTGTGAGAAACTCCACCCTTAGGATGGTGAATTCTGTGTCACATCAGGTGTGCAAAGGGAACTAAAGTTGGAAAAGAAAGATCGACTTAGAGAATAAAAGGAGACTGACGGAAAAGTAAAAATAATTGTTTAGTTTTAAGTTCATTTTAAAATCTTAAATAATTAAAACCTGATTTTAAAAAAAAAGACACTTGTTATTTTTCAGTAGCAGAAAAGTTATTCGGCAATAACTTACACCTATCACATCATTAACACTCAGCTGTGTGACAAGATGCCCTGCAGAAATTCAGCAAAGTCCCTCAGACAGCACTTTCCAAACTCACAACCACTACCATCTAGAAGGACAATGGCAGAAGATACATGGCAACACCTGCATGCTCCCCTCCAAGTCACTCTCTATCCTGACTTACAAATATACTGCCATTCCTACAGTGTCGATGGATCAAAATCCCGGAATTTCCTGTCTAAAGTCATTATGGGTCTACTTACAGCACATGAACTGCAGCGGTTCAAGGAGGCAGCTCACCTTCTCAAGAGCAACTAGGGACGGGCAATAAATACTGATCCAACCAGCAATGCCCACTGTCCATGAGTGATTAAAAAAACACTAAATTGAAATGGACAAGACTTGGCTTTCTGTGACAAGTTTAATTTTAATCTTTCGTGCAAATGCAGCAACTTCATACCCTTCAGTGATAAACCAGAAAATGGGATGGTTATTTGACAAAGTAAACAGCATTTAAAATATTCAAATTTAAATGTTATATGTTTGATTTTATAGCTTATTAAAATGTTTATTTTGCCTTTCATTGTAGAAATTGTTGGTAATTCTTCTGATTTAAACAAAAAGACCACTATTGCAGAGAACCTAGCAAGTGAATACTTGAAATCCCGCTATTACAGTGAAATGATGTCTGAATTAAACAAGCTATCTCAGGGAAATGCTTCAAATTCTGAGCCTGCTACTAGGAGGATCACATACACAACATCATTCCTTCACCAACTGAAATGGGTTACTAAACGATCCTTCAAAAACCTTCTCAGGAATCCCCATGCCTCTGTTGCACAGGTAAAGCTGAACCCCTCCACTGTCAATAATGATGAAACTCAAGGTTAATGGATTACTCTCATGGAATCCCTGCTTTTTTTGACAAAGTGGCAAATTTTACACAAACAAAGGAAAGAGAATTATTAATGCAATGCCTTATCAATGTCTGTCAGAAAATCCCATTGTTTTCCTGTGTGATTTATTTGGAACCATGATCACTATTCTTGTAGAGACAAATGTGAACTACCATGGCTGTATAATCAATCAAGTGAAGGACTTGATTCATTCTATCCATTTTACAATTTAGGGAGAAACATTGGCAGAATGCTTTGATTTTCTTTTGAGCAGTTCTTTGAGATCTTTTAGCTTCAAAAGTTCATTGTAAAGGATGAGATTTCTGAATATTTGGAAGTGTATAGTAAAATAGGGCAAAGTCAGCATGGTTTCATCAAGGGGAGGTCATGCCTGACAAATCTGCTAGAATTCTTTGAGGAAGTGACAAGCAGGTTAGACCAAGGCGAGCCAATGGATGTTATCTACCTGGACTTCAAGAAGGCCTTTGATAAGGTGCGACACAGAAGGCTGCTGAGTAAGGTAAGGGCACATGGTGTTAGAGGCAAGGTGCTAGCATGGATAGAAGATTGGCTGTCTGGCAGAAAGCAAAGAGTGGGGATAAAAGGGTCTTTCTCAGGATGGCAGCTGGTGACAAGTGGTGTTCCACAAGCGTCAGTGCTGGGACCACAACTTTTCACTTTGTACATTAATGATCTAGATGAAGGAACTGTGGGTATTCTGGCTAAGTTTGCAGACGATACGAAGATAGGTAGAGGGACAGGTAGTATTGAGGAGGTGGGGAGGCTGCAGAAGGATTTGGACAGGTTAGGAGAGTGGGCAAAGAAGTGGCAGGTGGAGTACAACATGGGAAAGTGTGAGGTCATGCACTTTGCTAAATGGAGAGACAATTCGAAGTCTGAAGTGCAAAGAGACTTGGGAGGTCTAGTCCAGGATTCTCTCAAAGTAGTCAGGAAAGCAAATGCAATATTGGCATTTATTTTAAAAGGACTTGAAATTAAAAGCAGGGATGTACTACTGAGGATTTATGAGGCTCTAGTCAGGCCACATTTAGAGTATTGTGTGCAGTTTAGGGCCCCATATCTCAGGAACGATGTACTGGCCTTGGAGCGGGTTCAGAGGAAGTTCACGAGAATGGTCCCAGGAATAGAAGGCTTAACATATGAGGAACATTTGAGGACTCTGGCACTATACTCATTGGAGTTTAGAAGGATGAGGGGGGATCTAATTGAAACTTTCAGAATACTGAATGGCCTGGACAAAATGGATGTTGGGAAGATACTTCCATTGGTAGGAGAGTCTAGGACCCGAGGACACAGCCTTAGAGTAAAGGGAAGACCTTTTTAGAACGGAGATAAGGAGAAACTTCTTCAGCCAGAGAGTGGTGAATCTATGGAATTCACTGCCACAGAAGGCTGTGGAGGCCTGGTCATTGAATATATTTAAGACTGAGATAGATAAGTTCTTGATTATCAAGGGGATCAAGGGCTACGGGGAGAAAGCAGGAGAATGGGGTTGAGGAACTTATCAGCCATGATTGAATGGCGGAGCAGACTCGATGGGCCGAATGGCCTAATTTCTGCTGCTATATCTTATGGTCTTATGTGGGTGACTCCTTTTCAAGATTTTGTTGAGAGCACACCAGCTTCCTCAGTACTGGCACTGAACTGTGCTACCTTAGGTTGTAGGCTGCGGTCTCTGTAGTAGGAGTTTGGGTTAAGGATCGTAATGGAGTTAAGGGGTATGAATGTTACCCACTAAGGCACATTTACAATCATGCCAAGATGATCACTGAGCAAATGAGAATATGAATGAAATGGGCAAAAGCAGAAATAAAAGAATTGGAAGGAAGATGTTAAAACTTGTAGAGGTGAAGGTGTCAGTTGAAAAGCAAAGTTAAATGTTAAGAGTCATCAGACTTGTAACATTTAACTCCGCTTTCTTCCCACAGACTTTTTAAAATTTCATTAGAAAATCTATGTATACATACATAGTCACTAAAGCAGTTCGGTTCTGTATAGTCTTTGCATATGGAGAAACAAACAAACAAACATTGGAATTTGACTTTCCTGACAGTTCCAACAAACCAAAAGGCATTTCTAACTCATGCAAGGTACTATTTACATGTATTTGAGGCACAGGATGCTGCCAGACCTGTTGAGTTTCTCTAGCAATTTCTGTTTTGGTTTAAAATGCTATGTACCTGTAGAACATAACTCATTTTAGTGGAGGTTGCTGCTACAAGGTAATATGCAAATTATGGCGAGGCAGGACAAAGGGTGGAGCCCTGAATTATAGCAAAGGGGACACTGTGTATAGAGGGGGAGAAAAGATTGAAAACCTAAAAGGGCATTATGATAAAGGTGAATGGTGGGGGAGAGCGACTGAGAACAGTGAAATTTTAGTGTTATTTAAAGCATTTGAGTGGTTGAAGAGAGAAACATTATCGATAGAATGGCCTCTTGAATTTGAAGTACTGGTGTTAAATGTTGGGATAGTTGAGAGGCATATATTGTCGGTGCTGCCTGAGCTTGGGGTGCTCCTTGTAGAAGCCTCTCCTGATCTGGCCTGGATTTGATTTGATTTCCAGTAAGACAGATTAAAATATTGGAGGAAGGAGAGGTTCATGATTAAATCTTTCGAATGCCAAATGACATTCAACGCAGTAAGTTGATCAGAGTTGTATAAATGGCTACTTGCATCAATACCAGTATTCATAATCAGAATAAAGATAATTCAGGAAATTCCACATCAGTCACAGCTGGAAGATTGCACTGCCATGCGTGACTGGGATTGATTTTACATCACATATCATTTAACAATCCTCTCATCACTGTGTGCATTTTTTTATTGGTTCATGGGAAGTGAATATCAGTCTGAGACTAGCATTTATTGCTCATCCCTAATTGCCTTGGAGAAGGTTATGGTGAGTTTCCTGAACCATATCAGTCCTTGGGGTGTAGGGAGATCCACCATGCTGTTAGGGAGGGATCTCTTACTGAATAAATGCTGCCTTATTTTCATTAACAGTGCGCTCTGCTGTAGTTTGTAGAGAAGTTTTAAGTGTACACTGTGTGTGTGAAATTGTTATATGCCTGCAGTGTGAGCCAGGCCGGTAATGAACCGGCAACTACTTATATCCCAGGAAGGTATTCAACTGAGTGGAAATTATACTGAGACCAGGAAACAAGTCTCTAAAATAAGTTTGAACTGAACTTTAGTGGAAAGAATATTGACACGATGAGAATCAGTGTGCTGTTTCAGATGGCTAGTTTTATCCACGCTGCTTACCCTGACTTCTCCTCCTGTAACTCCTGACCTGCTTCCACCTTATTGGCTGAAATGGTGACATCAATAGATATAGTGTGGAAAATAGCAATTCAGGCTAGTACAGCAGTAACTTCGGATCAGCAAGTTTGATGTGAAACACCTAACTAAGATCTTTCATTAAATTTAACACCCCCACCCTCTCATTAGTATTTAAAAGAACACTGACTGGTTTTAATACCTGAAATCTATTATCTGTCTTGTTTGTCAGCATTTTAAAAAGACCCAAGGTGCTGTGTAATATTGTGAAGAAAACAGTAACTAAGTAAAATAGTGATGTTCCTATAGTGTAGTGATGCATTTTAATGACATTTACAGTCAGCATTCTGTATTTTGCATACACAGTTAAAAGGTTTAATCAATGCTTTGTTGCATTGTTTCTTCAATTGTGGATCCTAATATCTACACAGTGGGGACTAATGCTTCTGCACACTCTGTTTTTCTTCCTAATTAAAAACTAAATTGGCAGTTGAAACAGAGAATCTAAGAATTTTCCTCATTAATTTGCCATTCAGTGCTCAGTTTGGGATGGAGAATTGAGGAGGGAGGAACTGAGAATTCAACAGTTGCCCTAAGCCCTCAATTAAGACAGAAAAGGGTCAATATGCCAGGGGTCCTGCTCTAATGAACTGTCCATTTCTATGGAGGACTTAGGAACAGGAGTAGATCATTTGGTCCTTCAAGCCTTTTCTGACCTTCAAATGCATTGTCGTCAAGCAGAGGTGGGGATCAGAATCAGTTGCAGTATGTCCAGACCTCCTGCGTCGACTTGGGCACGGTGAATGGTCACTTGTGTAAGATACCAGTAGGAAACACATACAATTGGGCCATCTACCCTGCAAAGATGTTCATTTATTTTATCCATCCATGAGATGTGGACATTGCCAGCAATGCCCAATCTTAATTTAATTGTCCTTGAGTTAAAGAGTCAACCAAAATTGTCTCAATCTAGAGTTACATGTAGGCCTGACTGGGGTAAGGATGCTATATTTCCTGCTCGAAAGAACATTAGTGAATCATACCAGTGTTTTGACAATCAATGACGTAGTTACCATTACTGCCACTAGCTTTATAATACAGATTTGATCCCCAGAGCATTAGCCTGAATTGCCAAATTACCAGTCCAGTGACAATACCACTTTACTACTTGAAACTCCCTTCCTTAAAGCATTGTGGGGTCTACCTGCACCAAATGGACTGCAGAAAGAAAACAGTTCTCCGCCACTGCCTTTCTTCTCAAAAGCATCTAGGGATGGGCAGTAACTTTTATTGTTCTAACAAACTCTATTCTTAATTAGGTGATGGTCACACTTGTCCTGGGGCTGATTGTGGGAGCCATATATTTTGGAGTGCAAGATGATAATGCAGGTATTCAGAACAGGTTGGTATAATTTAAGAGATTATCTTAAAACTTAACTGAAAAATCTAAATTACAAAGAAGAACATGCTGGCTAGCATAACAACAAAAATTACTTTTATACAGCATGCTCAACATAGGAAAATGGCACATCTTGAAACTGAGCTACTATTTCAATTCTTTTGTTTGTTAATCATGAATACAATCAAAATATAATCACCTCAATTAATGGTGATTGTGAAAAATACAAACCTACAAATGAGAACTTCATTGTGAATATGTATAAATTCTTGTGGTATGCTTGCAACGGATGCTAATCAATTGCGGGATGTCCAGGCAGTGACAAGTTATTCTGAGTATAGTGAATGGTAGAATGGGGCGAATACAGGGTGGGACAGGTAATTAATGCTGTATATTTGGTAAAATACAGTGAGAAAACCCACTAGGCCCCATGGCAAGAAACCATTCATAAACCTGACAGCTAAAGAAACTTGAGTCAGTCATTCGTGTGTTAATACCATAGTTGACACTTACTGAAGCACTAGGAATTGATATTACAAGCACATTACAAAACCATATGTATATATTTGTAAAAACCAAAAGAACTGCAGATGCTGTAAATCAGAAACAAAACAGTTCTGAGGAGGGGTCACCGGACATGAAACGTTAACTCTGATTTCTCTTCACAGATGCTGCCAGATCCACTGAGCTTTTACAACAATTTCTGTTTTTTGTATATATTTATACTCATTTCAACTCAGGGGCTATGTGTCTGGACTTATTTACTGACAGTGTTTGTTCATTAATTTGAGACTTATTGGTGACAAAATGTCTGGCTGCTAAGGAATGAATTCTTTATTGGAAATCTGCACAATATACTTTTAATAGTCATTTAATAATGCTCTTAGATTGGATTTAAAATCTGAGATTATTTATCTTTTGAGATATTCCTACCCTTAGTATTATTAGACTTTGACTAAAATCAAATTGATTTTCAAAGATCTTTCTTGCAATTATTTTCTGTTTATCTGTACAATTTTTATGACATTTTGCTGCATAGTTTAATACCTAGAGGTCCGCCTATTGTAAAACATTGACAGTGTATTTATTCAATAACCGTTCTATAGGTAGGAATATTAAGCTGTTTTTACGTTTACTGTTCCCCTCATTTTATCTCAGACTCATATATTTCAAATCTCTCCTAGTCTCCTGCACCATCCTCAAGCTTGAGCTTACCCAAATCCTGCTGTCTTTATTCTAACTTGCCCCAATTATTGTTCACCCATCATCCCTGCTCACTGGATTCTCTAATCCTAACCCTATCACAGGCTGTTGGTCCAGAAACTCTTCAAGTTTAAAATTCTTATCCTCATTTTCAACTTTCTCCATGATTTCTTCCTAATACCTCCAATTGTTTAAGGCCTCCAAATCCAGCCATTTGTGCACCACATGGCTGAGCAGCTTTGATCCATTTGAGGATTTCAGGCTCCTCCTTTGAATTCACTCCATAATACCTATCTCTTGGACCAAGCTTTTGATCACATGTCCCAATGTCCCTATAAGGGGCACAGTTAAGTCTTATCTGATAATTACTGCATTTCTTTTTCATAGAATCCCTACAGTGTGGAAACAGGCCATTCAGCCCAACAAGTCCACATGCCCCTCCAAAGAGCATCCCAGCCAGACCCATTCCCCTATCCCTGCATTTCCCCATGCCTAACCCACCTAACCTAAACATCCCTGGACACTTTGGGCAATTTAGAATGGCCAATCCACCTAGCCTGCACACCTTTGGACTGTGGGAGGAAACCCATGCAGACACTGGGAGAATGTGCAAACTCCACACATACAGTCGCCCGAGGGTGGAATCGAACCTGGGTCCCTAACCACTGAGCCACCATGCCGCCCTTAAGTGGAACACTATGGAGCATCTTTCAATACTTTTAGTTGGTTGAGGTAGCACAAACAGAAATTGCATTGATAAAATCTGCAATAAATAACGTCTGGTAATGATGACTTCTTTCTTACAGGGCAGGTGCAATTTTCTTCCTGACCACCAATCAGTGTTTCGGCAGCCTGTCTGTTATCGAGCTGTTCATTGCAGAAAAGAAGATTTTCATGTAGGTGATTAATTTTGACTTTCCTGTATTAATGCTAAATCTGAAATGTTCGTCTGTAATTAGAATTGTGATGGAACCCAACTTGCAGCAAACATTTTGTGTTGAAACAACCAGCAATAACTCAAATAGGTAGTGCCAATGCTGTGTGGGAACTGGATGTTGCCTGCCCCCATTGGCTACATTCTGGTTGAGGAAGAATTTAATATGGGGAGGGTGCCCAGGCCAGTACCTTCCCACCCACACCCAATCTCATGCCCATAATATGGAGGGAAGGGTGCCAAAATCATCAGCTTGCCTGCTGCATGTAAATAAATGTAAAGCTCAATTGGTCCGAATAGTAAACTGTCCATATTATCATAAGGATGGCATGTCTGTCAGGCTAGATGTGTGAGACTCTCAATGTTTTAAAAGTGCTTAAAGCAGTGGGAAGGAGGAGGGGTGTCGTCACCAGGGGGACACCGGTCCCAAGAAGATAGCAACCCAACTACTTCCTTCCCATTCACACATTCCTTAAAACACTCTCTAAACACTCTTGACCCCCTCCCCCTGAGTTGCCAAAAACTCCCAGTCCAAAATGCTAAAACAGCAGTGCCCACTACCCAGCTCCGCCACTAATTGACAGATCCAGAGGGTGGGACTTCTTTCCAGTGAAGGGCACAAGCCCAACTCTGAGTTTGCTTAGATACCCTGTCATCAGTGGTGTGTTACGGCTGTGAGGTTGGCTTCCAACAGGCCAGTCTTCTGGGTGGTTGAGGCACACTTGACAAGCAGGGTTGCTTGTGGGCTCTGAAGAGTGAAAAGAGGAGTGGGGAGGTTCTGTCTTGATCAAAGGCATTCAGTGACTAATCAATATACCCAAAATTAGGATGGGAACTGGGGACCACCCCTACCCTTTGTGGCAAACAACCTCCATCGTGATTTCCCTCCCTACAACACCGTATCCACTCCCTCCAACCTCTGGGATTAAGGCCTTCAGTGGGTGCCCTTAACAGTGGTGCTGCCATTCAGTAGAGCTGCAAGGCTCTGTTTGACAGTAGCTCTTGACAAGTGGGACTTGTACCACCATGATCCTTGATCATGCAAATTAGAATCCCTACAGTGTGGAAACAGGCCCTTCGGCCCAACAAGTCCACACCGAACCTCAGAGCATCCCACCCAGATCCATCCCCCTATGACCCACCTAATATACACCCTCTACCTCCCTGAACACTATGGGCAATTTAGCATGGCCAATCCGCCTAACCTGCACATCTTTGGACTGTGGGAGGAAACCGGAGCACCTGGAGGAAACCCACGCAGACACGGGGAGAATGTGCAAACTCCACACAGACAGTCGCCCGAGGCTGGAATCGAACCCAGGTCCCTGGCGCTGTGAGGCAGCAGTGCTAACCACTGTGCCACCGTGTCGCCCGTTTTTTTTCTTAAATAGCATCCCACCCAGACCCATCCCCTACCCTATAATCTTGCATTTCCCATGGCTAACCCACCTAGCCCTCACATCCCTGGACAATATGGGCAATTTAAGCATGGCAAATCCACCTAACCTTCTCATTTCTGAATTGTGGGAGGAAACCACGTAGACAGGGAGAATATATAAACTCCACACAGATAGCCACCCAAGGCTGGAATTTGAACCCAGGTCCCTGCTGCTGTGAGGCAGCAGTGCTAACCACTGAGCCAAATGATTATATAGCCTATGATTATATGATTATATGGCCTTCAACTGCCCAGCTAAGAGCCTGATGGGAACTTAATGTTGCTGATATTCCTTAAAAGAGGCAACTTAGGGACTCCTCAGTATTCCAGTCAATGAGCTACACCTTCATCTCCTCCATTCAACACCACTCAGAGAAACTGTTTCTTCGCAAGGTGGGGGGAATATGCGGTAAAGGCGGTGTTTTGCTATGTCCAATCCTTGCTGATCATGATTTGATGCTACATCATGGTGATTTTATTTTCTTTACAGGCATGAATATATTAGTGGCTATTACAGAATACATGCATACTTCATAGCAAAGTTATTTGTTGACCTGATACCTATGAGAGCACTACCAGCCATTACAATTGTAACTGCAAGCTACTTCCTGATAGGTGAGCAACAGAATTTCATCATTTTGAGTTGCAATGTTCCAAGGGCAAAATAATTCTAGAAAGCAGAAAGTGAGCATAATATTGGTATATCTTTCACCATTACCAAATAGTCAAACATTAAGGAGTGATCTAATTGGAGGCTTGTTTTTCTGCGGATTCCTGTTGTTCAAAGATAAACGATCAAAATTGAAGACTAAGGTGTAATCTATTAACATATTTAAGACGATTAAAGTAGTTGAGAGGGTAGATAGAGAGAAACTATTTATTGTGGTAGGGAGTCTGAAATAAGGGGCCAGAACCTTTAATACTGAAAGCAAACCATTCGGGGCAGTGACAGGAAGTGAGGGGAAATCAGTAACCCACCCCCTCCTAAAAAGTTTTTAATGCTGGGGTCAACTGGAAGTTTCAAAACTGAAATCAATAAATTTGTTGGACAAGGATACTAAGGGATTCAGAATTAGTCCAGGTAGATGGTGTTGAGATGTAGATTAGCAATGATTTCATTGAATGGCAGAATAGGAAGCAGAATGACTTCCTCCTGTTAGTTTTTAAAAAAAATTACAATAAACCTGTTTAGACATGTTACACCACATTTCTGGGACAGATGGTCTTGAACCTGGACCTTCTGGCCCAAAGCTAGGGACACTACCACTGTGCTGCAAGACTTCTTCAAAAGTGCTATGGGCATGTTTCATCTAGTGAATTGAACCTGGAAACTTGGAGTTATTACTGTCAAACTCTGATCGTCCGGCTGACCAACCACTACAATTATTTTCATCAACATCAGAGGAGCAGGAAAGCTGACGTTTCAGGTCTGGACCCTTCTTCAGAAAGGGTATTTGATAGCTTCATCAAAGTATTGCCCAACAACCATAGTTTAATGCCATAATTGCAAAACTGAACAGTTCTTTTGCTGGAGAATCTGAGATAACAAGGTGTAGAGCTGGATGAACACAGCAGGCCAAGCAGCATCAGAGGAGCAGGAAAGCTGACGTTTCGGGCCTAGACCCTTCTTCAGAAAGTGACCCTTCTTTTGCTATTGTCAACTAGACTAGTACAAGGCTAGATCTAATCATTGGTTATTGCTCAATAATATCTAGATGACCCCTGGGGTCTGGGGATATTTCAAAAGTATCTATTAAATGCACACTAGTAGCAACAGTGAAAAATATGAATGTACTGGGTATTAAATCCCATGTTATAAACAATTTTTAAAGGAAATATTCCTTAAAATAATATGTAAACAAAGTTGGTTAAAGAATATTTAAAGCATGAATTCTGAAAGTTTCAAGCATGTTGGCCTATCTTAAAAATTTTTTAAAAAATTTAAGTCTGTTTTGATTAAAAATGGCTCTGAGCCTACAGAGAACATCTTTCCAAAATCTGCATGTAACTGAAATGTAATGGAGATAGAATGCGATGTAGCATTGTGCTGTGATAATGGAGTAACTGCTTTTGTAAAATATATTTGAGTGACCGTTTTATTTTTCAGGATTAAAGCTACAGGCTGGTGCCTTTTTCATCGCATTGTTGACATTAGCCCAAGTGTCCGTTACAGCTGCATCTCTGGGATTAGCTATTGCAACTGGACAGAACACTACAGCAGCTGCCACCCTAATGATTACTGTTATTTTTGTTCTCATGATCGTATGTTGAATATATTGCATTTTTATTTACACCTGCGTCTCCAACTCCTTCCCTGGTCTCAGCCACCCTACCTCTATAATCTCCTCCAGCCCTACAACCCACCCAGATATCTGTACACCCCCAGTTCTGGCCTGTTAAGCATTTCTGATTATCAAATTTCACTGTTCGTGATTGTGCCTTCAGTTGCTTGTGTCTCAAACTCTAGAAATAACCTCTCTTCCTCTCTTTCCTCTTCTTTAAATGGTCCTTTTTAAAAAAAAAAACCGACCTCTGACCAAGTTCCTGGTCACCTGTCCTAATTTCCTCTTTTGTGGCTCAGTATCAAATTTTGATAAGGTCTTGCAAAGGGCATTTTATTCTGAAAGGTAAGTTGTTGCATAATGTCCACCAGTGTTTTCTTGTTATGCAGGTGTTTCCCATCTGATGGCATGCTTCCTATATAAACAGTGAGCCAGTAAATAGCCAACTGAAATGTAAAAGCAGTAACAAACCACAGCCATAATGCTAAATTATACGCCATTGTTCACACAAGAGTGGCCCAGACACGAGTTGAAGTCCTGAAACATAGGACAAGATTCTCATTGGCCATTACTGGATTACAACCTCATATTGCAACTACACCTGAGGCCTAATGCAATTTTTAATTCGTGGGAAGTGGGTGTCACTATCCATCTCTGGTTGTCCTTAAGAAGGTGGTGATGAGCTCCCTCCTTGAATTGCTGCATTCCATTGGTCCAGATCCACAATGATGTTGGGTGGTGGTGGGGGGGGAGGCGGAAGAGTTCCAGGATTTTTGCCCAGTAACACTGAAATAATGCTGATATATTTCCAAGTCAGGATGGTGAATTTGGTGGGGTTGGGATTGGATTTGTAGGTGGTGACGTTTCCATGTATTTGCCGTCCTTGTTCTTTTAGATGGTACTAGTTGTGGTTGGAAAGGTATTGTCTGAAGAGCCTTGGTCAATTTTGAATGTCTGATCAAGCTGTAGCCAGGGTGCATGCTCCCTCTCCAGTTAAGGCCGGTGGAGAGCCAGGAGGTAGCCCTTCAGCATTGAGATCGGTAGATACACTGAAATATGGGCACTGTCCATGTGGAAAGGAGAGAGGGAGGGCATCTGCTGAAGACTTTGTAATAAAATTGAAATTTATGCTGGCCATATTTCCAGAAACCTGCCTTGTAGTGGGACTGAGGGGATTGGGAGAAGACCCCCTGCACAGGGTGGTCTGTGGTGGCAGCTTTGATGTTGAACACATGTAATTATAGAGATGCAAGGGTATTTAAAAAGGTGCTTCCTACACACCCCACACCCCCTTCCAACCTTGATCTGCTGCCACATGGCAGCCTCTGTGTATGAGCAGGGATTTGGCTGCTTTTCCAAAGCCTGACTGCTGATTTGAAAATACCATTCAGCTTCTCTCCAGTGCCCACACCCCGCCCTCAACTTTCAAAGCAATCAGGTCCATGCCTGTCTTCACAGATAGTTTTCCAGCTCTTCTGTGATCAGTCACTTGCCTGAATAAAAAAGATTCTACCGTACCATCAGTGCTATGATATCTCTATTATTTATTAAGTAGCTTTTTTTTCTCGTGAGAGATAGTGGGGAGTATATTTAAATCATCATTTTATAATAATGTTTTGATTACAAAGCCTATCTCAGTGACAGTCAACGTGGTTGGAATCTTGGATTGTGTCCTACTGATAACTGTTTGTAATTGCCTTTAGCTTTTCTCTGGCCTCCTGGTGAACTTGCCGAGTGTGGTAGTCTGGTTGAACTGGCTAAAGTATTTCAGTATCCCACGTTATGGCGTGACCGTAAGTATCTTGACATCACCACTTTAAGAGAAAACTAGGTGTTTGGGTATACAGTCATGCAACAAAAGAGACTATTCTGTCTATTGTGCCTATTCTAGCTCTTTGAAAGAGCTTTCCAATTAATCTTATTCCCTTGCTTTCTCCATCCCAGAGCTTACAATAGTTTTTTCCTTTTCTGGTATTTATCCATTGAAAGTTCCTATTGAATCTGCTTCCACCATCCTTTTGAGGCAACACATTCCAGATCAAAACAACTCATTGCATTCGTAATTGTCGGGTATAGAGCCGGAAGATTGGAGAGTGACAAACGCCATTCCCTTGTTCAACAAAGGGAATAGGGATAACTCCGGAAATTACAGGCCAGTTAGTCTTACTTCAGTGGTGTGCAAATTATTGGAAAGGGCTCTGAGAGGTAGGATTTATGATCACTTGGATAGGCACAGTTTGATTCGTGATAGTCAGCGTGGAATTGAGGGGTAGATCATGCCTCACAAACCTTATTGAATTCTTTGAAGAGGTGACCAAACATGTGGATGAAGGTAGAACAGTGGATGTGGTATACATGGATTTAAGTAAGGCGTTTGATAAGGTTCCCCATGGTAGGCTCATGCAGAAAGTAAGGAGGCATGGGATAGGGGGAAATGTGGCAGATTGGATTCAGAATTGGCTGACCCTTAGAAGGCAAAGGGTAGTAGTGGACGGAAAATATTCAACATGGTGCTCAGTTACGAGTGGTGTACCACAAGGATCTGTTCTGGGTCCTCTTCTATTTGTGGTTTTTGTAAATGATTTGGATGTAGGCGTGGAAGGGTGGATTAGCAAGTTCGCAGACAATACGAAGGTCGGTCGAGTTGTGGACAGTGCGGAGGGCTGTTCGAGGTTACAAAGGGACATTGAGCTGGGCTGAGAAATGGCAGATGGAGTTCAACCCTGAAAAGTGTGAGGTGATTCATTTTGGAAGGACAAACTTGAAAGCAGAATACAGGGTTAACGGAAAGATTCTTGGCAGTGTGGAGGAGCAGAGGGATCTTGGGGTCCATGTCCACAGTTCCCTGAAAGCTGCCACCCAGGTGGATAGAGTTGTTAAGAAGGCGTATGGTGTGTTAGCTTTCATTAATAGAGGGATTGAGTTCAAGAGCCGTGAAGTTATGCTCCAGCTATACAAAACCCTGGTTTGGCCACATCGGGAGTATTGTGTCCAGTTCTGGTCGCCTCATTATAGGAAAAATGTGGAAGCATTGGAAAAGGTGCAGAGGAGATTTACCAGGATGTTGCCTTGAATGGAGGGAAGGTCTTACGAGGAAAGGTTGAGAGAGCTAGGGCTTTTCTCTTTAGAACGATGAAGGATGAGAGCTGACTTGATAGAGGTGTACAAATTGATCAGAGGAATAGATAGAGTAGACAGCCAGAGACTTTTTCCGAGGGTGGAGGTAGCTATTACGAGGGGGCATAGTTTTAAAGTGAGTGGAGGTAGATATAGGGGAGACATCAGAGGTAGGTTCTTTACTCGGAGAATGGTAGGGGTGTGGAATGCATTGCCGGAGAGGGTAGTGGAGTCGGCCTCATTAGGGGCATTTAAGCGGCTATTAGATAGGCATATGGATGATAGTATAAGGTAGGGGTGGAGGTTAGATAGACCTTAGGTTTAGGGTAAAAGTTCGGCACAATATCGTGGGCCGAAGGGCCTGTACTGTGCTGTACTGTTCTATGTTCTATGTTTACAAAACAAAAACTCTCCTCCTCTCCACTCTGGATCTTTTGCAAGTTAACTGAAATCTATGTCCTCTGGTCGTTGACCCATTTGGAATTGAAAATTCCTATTAAATTTACTCATAACCTTCTCTGCTCTAAGGAAAACAATCCGAGCTCCTCCAGTCTTTCTACATCATTGAAGTCCCTCATTCCTGGAACAATTCTAGTAAATCCCCTGTGCATCTTTCCCAAAGCCTTTGCATTCATTCTAAAGTTCAGTAGTCAGAATTGAACACAATACCCTATCTGAGGTCTAGCCAGTGATTTCCAGAAGTTAGGCATAACTTGTTTAAATTCTATATGCCTCTATTCAAAAATGTCCAATATGTTTCTTTTAAATAACCTTCAAAGATAAGTATATGTGAATTCCCCCAGTTTCTGCATCTGTTTTTAAAATTCCATATATGTTGCCTTTTCTAATTCTTTCTTCTAAAATGAATCACTTTACACTTCTGTGAATTACTTTCTATCTACAATTTATTTGCACACTTCACTAAGTCTGTCAATGTCTTCCAGAACCTTTGTTTTAAAATAAAATCACTGATTTAGCCTCAGTTGGAGTATTGTATCCAATACTGGGAGGTGCACTTTATGAAAGATGTGAACACTCAGACAGGATGCAGAAAAAGTTAATGCAAATGGTTCCAGTGAAGAGAGATTTAACTTAAATCTAAAAATTCCTTGATTTGTCCAATACCTCCATATAATATATTACACAGTAACATTCTGTGACCTATGATGATGCTCATTAAAGTTCTGATTAGGGACTGAACCAACAGGAAGGTTGAAAGTGACAGTTCCTATGCCATGGCACAGATCATTGGCAATTGGCTTATCCAAATTCGTCTAAATTTTAAGAAATCATTAGAAATCATTATGCATATAAACTGACATTTTCCCAGCTACTATCAGTTCTGAGGAAGGGTCACCGGACCCGAAACGTTAACTCTGTTTTTTTCCTTCACAGATGCTACCAGACCTATTGAGCTTTTCCAGCAACTTTGTTTTTGTTCCTAATCTATATTATGGGCAGCCTAAATATATTCAGTACTTGGGTTGTGTGCTTTGTTTTACCTCTTGAACTTTCATTTTTACTTGAGTTAAGAAAGTACGAGGAGTGATCATGTTAACCAATATACTGCTTTGGTTTTACACAGGCTCTACAAGTGAATGAATTTGTTGGACTGAAATTTTGCAACAATTCTGAATCAGTATCTATTGCCAAAGAAAACAACCACAGCATGAACTTTGAACTAATTATGTAAGTTGAAAAACAACCTAAATATTAAGGAATAGTTTCATTTTAATGTCTCAAGGATCTATTGCATGCCACCAATTACATGTGCAAATCCAGATTTACCTCTCTCCCAAACCCCATTTCTCCCTTATTTCTAGTTGAATCCTAAAATAAGTTAGGGCATTCAAGAAAAGATGGGAAAAAGGAGAGGTGGAGGACAAAGGCTGGGGGGGTGAAGATGTAAGTAACATTGTTGGATAGGGGTAGCTTCTGGCATTGCTTGCAGAGTAATGGGGCTGGCCTTCACTGGGTATGTTTTGGGACAGTGTCATGTAATTTAGGTTGGGTGCCCAGCATGCCAATTTCCCACCAAGTCCTGAACTTACTTCTTCATAGAGAGGATAGGCATGTTCTGTAATCACCCACCAAAGGTAAATAAGTGATCAAGGATCAATCGAACTTGTTAAAAGTTATGAAAACTGACTCTGATAATCTGCTGCCCATGCCAAAATGCAGTGTTGTACAAAGACGAGTAGGAATGGGATTTCTTTAGCAGGAATTGATGTTAAATGTTAATAAATACTGTACTCCCACTTGCTTCCCACATACCTGCTTTGAAAAAGCACCCCTGAAATCCTCTCATCCCTTCCACACCCCAACACTCAAACAAGCTTTCTAAACTTCCCCGACACTAAAAGGAATCCTAGAGAGTGGTTAGTCTTTGGAATTCTCTTCCAGAGACATCTGAGGCAGGGTCATTGGATATTTCCAAGGTCCTGTTAGACAGATCTTTAATCCACAAGGGAGTGAAGGGTAAGGTCAGAAAGGAGGAAAGTGAAATTAAGGCTTTAAACGTAATGTTATTGAATAGTGGCATAGGCTTGATAGGCCAAATGGCCTATACTCCTACTCCTAATTCTTATGTTTTTATGTGGAATTAACAATAAAGTTTAATCAGTAATTTTAATACAAATGGAAATTTAAAAGCTCCTATTTTAATGGTTGTTATTACCATTATCTATAGCATTGAACTGAGATGAACTCTTCACCTGATGAAGGAGCAGAGCTCAACCAAACCTGTTGGACTATAAAAACCAAAAGAACTCCAGATGCTGTAAATCAGGAACAAAAACAAAGTTGCTGGAAAAGCTCAGCAGGTCTGGCAACATCTGTGAAGGAGAAAACAGGGTTAACGTTTCGGGTCTGGTGACCCTTCCTCAGAACAGAGGAAGGGTTCTGAGGAGGGGTTACCAGACCTAGAACGTTAACCCTGTTTTCTCCTTCACAGATGCTGCCAGACCTGCTGAGCTTTTCCAGCAACTTTGTTTTTGTTCCTGTTGGACTATAACCTGGTGTCGTGTGACTTATGGCTTTGTCCATCCTAGTCCAGCACCGCCACAACATAACTGAGATGCAGAAACACTAATTGGACTTTCCGGGAAACAATATTATTCCTGTTGTTTTGGTTGCCTGCTCCATATAAAATAGCATCTAAGTACCAAATAAGTAGCAAGTCATATTTAGCAAGTTACAGTTAGCAGTTGTGGATGTCTAAAATCTACCATGCATGTGGTCATATATCTTTCATACCAGGAACAGTATTTTCACTGCAGACTTCTGAACACTGCCATCAGGCTCAAATGGGAATCAGAATCCCACACTGAGTGAGAAACAACCATTCACTTATGATTCTCCATGAAATGATCAATTAGTAGTGTTGTAAGGGTGGGTGTGTTATTGAACATGGAGGAATACTGATATGGGGGGGAGGGGTGTCTCCACGTGTTAATTAGCAGGTTTCCTTGTCCTTTTTTCCTGGTGCCATGTGACCTCAAGGGGTGTGGAGATAGTGCTGAGGACTCCCAGGGCCATTCCACTGCATGCCACTGGCAACAACAATTGAACTTATCCATTGGGTTGGATAGGACATAGATGAAGGAATCTGGAACTTGACTGAGGCTCCCAAATTTGTCAGAAGTTTCCAAGTGAGGAAGACATGGCACATTAGAACTGGCAGGCTGAGCCTTTATTGTTTTAAGTGCCTTTAGGATGATGCAGGATGTGTTTATCTGGTTTCATTCCCATTTAACTTTTCTGAACTGGTTTGATAGAACTGAATGACTTGCTAAGTCATTTCAAAAACAGGTAAGGGTTAACTACATTGCTACAGGGATAGAGCCACATGTAGCCACATGATCCATATGACCAGCACAGGATATTAGATTTCTTTCCCTGAAGGGAATTAGTGAATAAGATGTTTAGTTTCATGATCTGTGTTATGATATTAGATTCTTAATTCAAATTTGTTAATTGAATTTAAATTCTCCCGCAGTGGCAGGACTTAAACTCGTGTGAAAAAAGTGTTAATCTGGACCTTTTGCATTAATAATCCAGTTATTTTACTACTAACTTACTGTTTCCTTAGTTCTAGTTTATAAGATTGATACAGCTCTAACCTTCTAACTGTAAGCTTGTCAAGTAGATTTGATTGAAATTGCTGAACATTTCTTTAAAATCTTTGGTGGTTATTATACACGACTGTGAAACACTGCCATCTGGTGACAGAGTAACTGTAATCATCATCATCGATTACTTTATGATTTTACAAAATTGTCACAAAGATGATTCCATAACTACAACATTTTTAGCCAGAAGCAGATGAGAATGTAGAGCTGTACTACAGAGAGAAGAATGGCATAGATATATTTAAGGAAAAATTAGACAAATGCATCAAAACACCTTTCCTGTCTGCCATCATACCATCACCACCATCTGTCTTCTACCTTCGAGCCAATTTTGTATCCAAATGGCTAGCTCTCCCTGGATTCTTACCTTGCTAACCAGTCTACCTTGCGGAATCTTGTCTAACGCCTTGCTGAAGTCCAAATAGCTCTGCCTTCATCCATCTTCTTTGTCACTTCTTCAAAAAAACTCAAGTTAATGATACACAATTTCCCACATACAAAGCCATGTTGACTATCCTTAATCGATTCTTGTCTTTCCAAATACATGTAATCCCTGTGCCTCAAAACCCCCTCCAACAGCTTACTCACCACTGGCTCATTGATCTATAGTTCCCTGGCTTTTCCTTAGTACTTAAATAATGGCACTACATTGGCCACCCTCCAGTCTTCGAGCACCTCACCCATGGCTATCAATGATACAAATATCTCAACAAGGGACCCAGCAATCATTTCCCTAGCTACCCCTAAATTGTGAGATACACCTGACCAGGTCCCGGGAATTTATCCACCTTCATGCTTTTTAAGACGTCCAGCACCACCAACTCTGTGATATGGACACTTTTCAAGACATCGCTATTTATTTCTCCAAGTTCTCTAGCTTCCATATCCTATTCTATTTGAAGATTTTCTAGCACAGTGGTTAGCATCCCTATCTGTAGCCCAGAAACTCTGGGTTTAAGTCCAGGTCTTAATGGTCATAATGAAATAAAATCTGCAAATCTTTTTGATAAGCCTGTGGTTGGTGGTAAGAATGACAAAGTTTCTTGTCAGTGAGAACCGTGCGGAAGCTTTAACACAACAGTTTCCCTACATTAAAAGACCCGTGTGCAGTTTCATGCCATGAGTGAGCATCATCCTCATTCTAAGGAACGAAAGGTAAAGTCACCATATAGTCCTAGAGGATCACAGTACTGATCTCTCATTAGAGAGACAACTGGTAATGGTTTAATCTGGATGTCACCACACCTCAACAGTGTAGAAGTTGAACCTGTGCTGTTGGAGTCATTCTGGATCACAAACTAGCCATTCGAGCTAACAGGCAACTTCTACACAGGTGTGTGCACGCACACACACACACACTTTCCATCCAACCTGCAGTGAAGGAAAGTGGAATGTTGGCCTTCCTACTTGCTGTATCTGCATGTATCTTTTGTGATCTGAGGATTGCTCTGCAATACAGCATTATATAATCACCCTACACGTAAATGCACTGGATGCATTGAATGGCACATTCCCAAGATCTAAATGCTGCAGTAGTCACTGACTGGCCTGGTAATGCCAGAATTCTTTAACAAATCATCCTAATGTTGAAATCCCTCCACAGGCTCACCCTTCCTTACCTCTGTAGGCCCACCAGTGCACAAAGATATCTGCATTCTTCCAATTCTACTCTTATTCATTTCATCACTCTCTACCCATTTGTGTTTATGTCTTTGGTTCCCTAGGCTCTAATCTCCAGAATTCCCTTCCTAACCCTGTACCACCTCTCTCTCCTCCCTTAGGACACTTAGGGGAGGCAATGGAGCAGTGGTAATATCACTGGCTAATGTTCTTGAGGATAGGGGTTCAAATCCAACCATGGCAGATAGTGAAATGTGAATTCAATAGAAATCTGGAACTTTTGAAAAAAGCAAGTTTAATGAGGAACATTCTGTCAATTGTCTTAAAAACTCCATTGTGATCAGTCCTGTTCTTTAATGAAGGAAATCCACCATCCTTAACTGATTTGGCCTACATGTGACCCCAGCAATGTGGTTGACTCTCAACTGCCCATTGGGCAATTGGGGCTGGGCAGTAAATGTTGTCTGAACCAGTGATATCTACATCCCATGAATGAATAAAGAAATCGCCTGGACTAGTAATCCAAAACCCCAGGATAATATTCTGAGCTCATGGGATTTATGGAATCTGTCAACTTTACTGGATCTGGCCTACATGTGACTTCAGGCCTACAGCAATGTGGTTAATGCCCAACTACCTTCCAGAACGGCACTAGCAAGCCACTCAGATCAAGGCAATTAGTGATTGACAATAAATGCTAGCTCAGTCAGCAATGTCCATATCCAATGAATGAATAAAAACAACTATTCAAAGCAATCTCTTTGACCAAGCTAATATCTTCTTATGTGGTTCAGTAAATGACTTTTCTTAATATTCCTGTGGAATTCCTTAGGATAATTTTTCTATGTTAAAGGTGATAGATAAATGTTTGTTGTTTTTGTCTAATGAAAATGACTGCTGTTGACTACATGTTAAATAATAATCACCAGAAGCCTTAGCTTGCAGAGTCAATGAGTAAATTTGTTGTGTGAATGAATAAAAATGCTTTGATGTTTTGTGTATTGTAGATGCACTGGAGAAGAATTCCTTGCCAAACAAGGAATTGAAGCAACTGAATGGGCCTTGTGGCAGAATCATCTAGCATTGGCTGGCATAATGCTTATTTGTTTCATGATTTCCTTCTTGAAACTCCGATTCATGAAGAAAACGTCATAATTATGTAAATAGACACTGACTCCATTTCCTCCTTTGTTTAATGTCCCGGGTCTTTTGGAAGGGATCCCTAGCTCATTCTGTCACATACGTTTTTGTTTCAGTTAGTAAATTTTCACACAGCTCAACCATGTGTCTGTATGGAGGTGTGTGTTCACGTGTTTGGCTGTATATCTGTTTCCGGCTGTGTGTTGTTCTGTGTCTCTGTCAATGGAATCTTCTGCTGTCTTCTGGTGATAAGCATGTAGATCTGATGAGCATGTCATAAGGTGGGATGGTGGCATAACTGAATCTCTCTCCAGGATTAAGTTCCTGGCATCAAAGCCTCTGGTTGACCTTCCTGCCCTGTCTCTCTTTGAGCCCCTCAAGTGGCTAGTTCATCCCATTGGGATCACTCAGCTGCAGGCAGGCCTGTTGCCAAGCAGTGTGGACAACAAGTAAAATAGTGTGGCAGAGGGTGGGGGGGCAGTGTCACCTCTGACTAACAAAGGGACTGGATATTGATAGGAGGGCCCAATGAGAGCCAACTTCCTGCCCTTGTTGAGCTGCCTGCATTCCTCGCTCAATAGTCACCACCCTGCAAGATCGTACCTTCACACTGCTTACCTTACTGAGTCACTCCGTCATCCTTCTGACAGCAGCCACCACCTTTTTAGTTATGACCTGCAGCTCTCATTAGGTCTTGATTCCAGGGAAATGCATGATTGTTGTGTGGTTTGGTGGGCCTTCCTTGAAAGAGGCAGCACAGATCTCTCACCAGCTGGCAGGGAGACCCTCCCCCCAGACTCAATTCTGTCCAGTTTGTCTGTCTGTACGTCGCCAACTGTTTTCAATGTCTTGTCTCGAAGAGGCTTTATATCTTCCCTATTAACAAGAAATATGTCGCTTGATCCTACAAAAGCTGCCTTCTTTGTGATTTGAGGTTGTATTGAAATCAAGGTTGCCAACTCTACTTGGACATAATCCATAAATTTCCACTATCCAAAGTCATGTCCAAATGCCCCACTGTCACACTTCACCATTGGTTGTCTGGCACATCCATTCTTGCAGTGCCTTTACCAATCAGGAAAAAACAGACTCTTGGATATTTTCTGACTAAATCTTTTTCTTTTTGTCCTGTCCAGTCTTTTTATAACTAGTGAACAAAGACTCAAACATTTTAAAAGCACATTTTTAAATTCCTTTGCTTTTTCTCTCAAGCATTTGCTAATGGCTGTGTCCGGGAAATTAATCTTTAATTCCTGGAGACTCTAGGATAATCCTAGGGGTTTGGCACCCTTTGATTAAGTGCGGCTCGTCTTGACAAATCTTCAGACATGTTTTGTGTTTTGATGTCACTTTAGAAAGTCTGTGCTGCACTACTGTATAAATGAGAGAATGCTATTGTTCTCCTTTGTACTGTTATAATGTAAAATATTACAGCCGAATATTGAAAATGCTGAAATGAATAAAAGGATGTTAAATTTTGTAATGTTAATTATATATTTTTGGGAAGTATATTTTGCAAATTATTTTGATAGGTTTAACTTAAAGGAAATCACTGTTGGATCATTACTTAAGAAAGTTAAAGATACTGTGTGTTTTCATGACTTTGGCTGATGATATAATGAATGCATGCACCTAGAGTGTATAAAGTGGCTACAATTTTCACAGTGTCTGAAATTGCGTATTTGTGCAGCATGTGCTTGTTTGTTTAATTTCCCCAAGCAGTACACACATGCAAACAATTCCCACCAACCCCTTGCTCACCAACAATCTATATACTTCTGCCTTAATAATTAATGATGGGGGAAGAGGAAGCAGTGACAGAGTACAATCTTGTACATCCTTTCAGTATGTTAATGGCAGGTAGTAAACGTAGCAGGAGAGTCACCTGGTACAGATACAGATCAATGCCCTTCGAGGCATAGCCTCTCGCTTTCAAGCTAGCAACTTGTTCATGGAGAAAAAAACTAGCTCTGGAAATAGGTATAAGCACATGCTTTGTCTGTCTTGTGTGCAAAGAAGATAAAGTATTATAACTTTGGTTCTCCAGTTGTTTCAGACCATCTGAAAATTTCCAATATTTTCTGTTTTGAAAAATTTAATTGCCATGTTCCCAAATTGGGTTCAATCGGATTCTCCACTGTGAAGCCTCTTCTAAGGATGCCTAGCCTGAAGAAGTTACCCTCCTCCCTCTGGACAAACCTCAGGGGATCTCTCTCCCACTGCAAACCCCCTTCCCTTCCCCCATTTCTGATGAAGGGTCTAGGCCCGAAACGTCAGCCTTTCTGCTCCTATGATGCTGCTTAGCCTGCTGTGTTCATCCAGCCCTGCACCTTGTTGTCTCAATCTTCTAGTGTTCATTTTGTGGTGAATTTTAGGGAATAGTTGCAGATGTACAAACAGGCCATCATGTTGATTTGTCAGCTGTGGCTTAGTGGGTAGCATTCTCATTCTCTGGGTTTCAAGGTTGTGGGTTTAAGTCCCACACAAATGACTTGAACACAAAACTCCCAGTTGACACTCCATTGCAGTGCCGCGGTCATGCAGCATTGTCAGAGTCATTACTGAGGTTGTAATGCTGCTGCATCATTGGAGATGTCGTCTTTCACATTAAATGTTAAACTAAGTCCTGATCTGCCCTAATAAAAACCGAAAGAACTGCAGATGCTGCCCTCTTGGATTGATGTACGACTTTAATAGAAATCGCACTAAAGAAAATATTACCCGGTTGCTGCCTCATTTACTGTGTCTGGGATCTGTCTGTGCACAAAATGGCTGCTATGTTTGCTGTATTCCAAAGATGAATACACTTGCAAAAGTATTTCACAGCTGTAAGGCGTTCTGATATTCTGAATTTGTGAAAGACACTATGAAATTGCAAGTCTCTCTTTCCAGTAACTGAGACAGGTTTAAAAATGCAGAATTCTTTCAACAAATGTAATTTTCTCAATCAATTTAAATTCATTTAATCATTATTTTTAAGTTTTAATGATTGATTTCTCAGTTTCTGACACTGGTCAGTCTGTCAGTTGTTCTCTTAAGATCCTAATGAAATACTTTGTAAAAATTTAATACAGTTTTCAATGCATTTTTTATTCCCAATGTTCATTTGTCACCTCAATTCTAACCAGCTTGGCTTTTCCCATTCCTACAGTTATTTATGCTTACACTCAACAGAAATGGTTTTCCATCCTGTGTAATATTTAAATCATTCGAAGGTATTTTCCAGAAGTTATCAAAGCTCAACATATAAAAACTTATCCCAGGAGCAAAACTGATAGGCAAATAAAATGCAACCAAAACCCCTGCAAATGATAAAAATGTGTAAAAACACAGAAAACTCTGGATGGACAGGCTAGTAAGCCTCTGTGCAAAGAAAACAGATAATGTATTAATAAGGGGGCTATCCAAGAATAGTGACACATCAATTCTACCAATAATTGATAGTGTATCTAAATTAACCTGAACAAGTCAGTGGATTTTGTATGGCGTGCAGAATTCAGTACATACTGGAATTTATTGGTGAATTTTACAGGGATTGGTGCTGGGTCCACTTTTGTTTGTCATTTATGTAAATAATTTAGATAAGAATTTGGAAGGCATGGCTAGTAAGTTTGCAGATGACACCAAAATTAGTGGTATGGTGGACAGTGAAGAAGGTTACTTAAGATTACAAAGAGATCTTGATCAATTAGGTCAATGGGTTGAGGAGTGACAGATGGAGTTTAATTTGGATAAATGCAAGGTATTGCATCTTGGTAAAACAAACAAGGGCAAGACTTATTCAGCTAATGGTGGGGCCCTGGGTAGTGTTGCAGAACAGAGATCTAGGGATTCAGGTACATAATTCTTTGAAGTTTGTGTCACATGTAGATTACAGCTAATACAGTGAAAAGCTTCAACAGTCGCTTCAATCTGGCGACATTTTCAATAGTTTAAAAATAAAATATAACTGGAAGACAGCCATGCACCACCATCCCTCCTCCACTGCCATGTGTGTCGGACCCATCGATGTAGGAGTTGCCACTCTAAGTGCCATCTCTTTGGCGCTAGAACAGCCTTGCCAGGCCCCGTGCTGAATCCACACATGCACCCAGAACCAGGCTGGCTCTGCTGCTGCCTCAATGATGCCAGGAGTCCCAGCCTGAGGCATACCACGTTGCTGCCACTGCAGCCACCATCTTGCAAATGCCAGGAGTCCCCGCTCTGGGTGTACTGCAACCAGGAGACCCTGGCTCCGCTCCTAGGCCATGGCCACCGTCTCACAAAGGGTCCGGCTCTGGCTGTCCTCCTCCAAGATGTCACCTCGCTGGCATCGTCACCTTAAAGTCCACTGCCACTGCTGCCTCCATTTGCTGGAGGAGTTTTGCTGCCGCTGCCACTGCCAGCCCTAAACACGGGAGGACGTCCCTGTTGCCACCGCAGCCACAGCCTCCAGTCGCTGTGAAGAACTGCGTCCACTGCCGCCTCTGGCCACTGGCAGGAGCCATCACCGATCTCACTGACTAATCCGCTGCAAAAGGCTCCAAAGAAAAGGAAAATGAAAGTAAAAGAGCAGAAGTAAAAAGAAATAAAAGAGGGAAAGCAGGCTGGAGCGGATCAGCCCCGGGCAAGAGCCCACACACTGCCCTGCCACTCTGCTGCCATCTTCAATCAGTTGGACGTCATGTTGAGGTTGTTCAGGACATTTGTGAGGTCTCTTCTGGAGTATGTGTCCTGGTCCAGTCGTCCTATTACAGGAAGAACATTATCAAGCTGGGCAGGGTTCAGGAAAGATTTACCAGGATGTTGCTGGGAATGGAGAGTTTTAGTTATAAGGAGAGGCTGGATAGACTGGGACTATTTTCCTTGGAGCATAGAAGGGTGAGAGGTGACCTTGTAGAGGTTTATAAAATCATGAGGGGTATAGATAAAGGTGAATGGTAGGTGTCTTTTCCCCAGGGTGGGGTATTTCAAGATTAAGGAGCATATTTTTAAGCAAAGAGGATAAAGATTTAAAGACATGAGGGGCAACTTGCTTACACAGAGTGGTTTGTATGTGGAATGAACTGCCAGAGGAAGGGGTGGATGCGGGTAAAATTACAATGTTCAAAAGACATTTCGATAAGTACATGAATAAGAAATGTTTGGAGGGATATGGGCCAAGGGCAGGTAGGTGGGACTATTTTAGTTTAGGGTTATGGTCGGTATGGACTGGTTGGACCGAAGGGTCTATTCATATGACTATATGACCCTATTACTGGATGTACGTATCACACGTTGATGAGCACTACCCTGAATTATGGAAAGAACATGAAGTTCAAGCTGGAGCAAGGTATGTCTTCTAGATGAAAGGGGATGTAAAAGGTCTCATGGCACTATTTTGAAGAAGAACAGGGGAGTTCTTCTCAATGTCTTGGGTCCAACATTTATCCCTTAATCAACATCATGAAAAGCACTCTCTGCACCATTTACTGTACTGCTGGAGCTTTACACTGTGCAGATTGTTTATCATCTTCTGTACTCCAACTGCATCCGCATTTCCGAAGTACTTTCTTGGCTCTTTGGTGCTTTGGAGCTCTCTAAGGTTGTGAAAGCTGCTGTTAAGAGTGCAAGTCATTTCATATATATATTTACACAAATCTTTCTTTGTGCATGTTTTGGGCTGTAGCTATGTGTCGACATTGAAATCATAGGTTTTTCCCAATACTGACATGTCTTAATGATAGAATTTTGTTGCAAGCAATTTTTCAGCAAACTGACTGGTAGCATTGTATGCTATAAATAGAAACACTGTTGGAGAAACTTGGTACTGAATCAGTTATGATTCTTCTTCAAAGAGTCTTATCACTGAAGAATCATACCAGACCTGAAACTGATTTTCTCTCCTGATGCTGCCAAACCTGCTGAGTTTCTGCTGTGTTCTCTGAGATTAGAATAGGGCTAACCTTTCAAATCCGATAACTTCAAAGATGAGTCAATATCGGACCCGAAAGGTTAACTCTGTGTTTCTCTCTGCACAAATGCTGCCAAAGACACTTGAGTTACTCCAGCACTTTGTTATTCATATTTTCCTTTTGGCAGTTTATCAGCGGCTAAAACTTAAAAAGAGCTGTATTTTCTTCTGAAGAAGGGTGTCTCGACTGGAAATGTTAACTTTCCACAGACGCTGAGTTTCTCCGGCACTTACTGTCTTTTGTTTCAGATTTGCAACAACCACAGTTCATTGAGAAGCGCATTGTCCAAAATGCAACTTGGACAAAGTCCCCCGCAGCACCACGTGCACCGGGAAGGGAGACACGGGCGTGCACGGCGCTCGCACACCGACCTCCCGGACCCTCACTGACGGCGCGTACGTACGCGGGGGCGCGCGCGCGCACCACCCACCAACCCTCCGATTGGCCGCCGCTCGGTAGCCTGGAGCCCGGATGTGGGCAGGGGCCCGCCTATAAATAGGAGCGGCGCCGGGGCGGGAGCGCAGAGCGGTTTGAAAATTCGGGCCCGGAGGACACGAGGCGGTGATGGTGAGGAGGCAAAAAAAAAAATAATAATTTATAAAAATAAATAACAAATCCGTGGTCGCAGACAGGGGGAAAAAATCATTTCGACCACAGGACGCAAACCGGTTTTATTTTTCTAATTTTTTTTTACCTCTTGTTATTCTCTGACAGGCTGGCGGTAAAGCGGGTAAAGACTCCGGCAAGGCGAAGACCAAAGCGGTTTCCCGCTCACAGCGAGCAGGCCTCCAGGTCAGTGCGGTCTCCCCGCGCCCACACCGCCGCCTCCTCCCTCCCACTGACTGACTGCAGCAGGGGCCAGCCCCGCACGGGCGGCGCGAGAGGAGGGAGAGAGTGCGGGCGGGCGCTGTTCACAATGTCTTACAACACGCCCCTCCCCCTTCTCCCACAGGGAACCGGCTGCGGCCGGAAATGTCTCTCCCCCCCTCCCCCACATATAAATATAGCGTTTCACGTCGCGGATTTTCGCTTTTTGTTTTCTAACGGCCGTCTTTTTTTTCTTCCCCCCGCCCCACCCCCTTCTCTGAATTTATTTTCACAGTTCCCAGTCGGCCGCATCCACCGACATCTGAAGTCCAGGACCACCAGCCACGGGCGGGTGGGCGCCACGGCAGCGGTTTATAGCGCGGCCATTCTGGAGTATCTGACGGCCGAGGTGAGTGTGGGGGTGGGGGCGCGTTACAGGCCGCGGCTCCATGTCCAGCTGGTCCGTCACCGGATATGTTCCGTGTTGCCGGCTGGTGGGGTTCGAGGAGACTGTTCCGGCCTGATTTGGAGTCGGCCTTGCCAAATGGTCGGAGTGGAAGGTTCCGGTCTTATTATTTCCTTCTGAGGAAGGGTCATCGGACCTGAAACATTTAACTCAGATAGTAGAAACTGCAGATGCTGGAGAATCCGAGACAACAAGGTGAAGAGCTGGATGAACACAGCAGGCCAAGCAGCATCATAGGAGCAGAGATTTCTCTTCAAGGTTGCTGCCAGACTTGCTGAGCTTTTCCAGCAGTTTGTTTGTTTTTGTTTCTGATTTACAGCATCCGCAGTTTTTTTGTCCCTTGTTCAGGTTTAAGAATTAAATCTCAGTCGTGTCTACTTGGGATCCTTCCGCAATCTACTGTCCAGTTGAGCTGCATATGGTTGCTTTGATTTGGAAATGTTTTCCCTACCCCTTGACAAATGATAATTCACTTGTATTTGATAGTGGTCGAACTGCATTTCAAACCTTGGATTTTTACTCACTTTTTAAAATTTCATGATTCTTGTGTTGAAGTTCTCCCACCCTTGGTCTCTAATGCCTAACAACTACTAGTCCTCAGTTTTAAGTTTTCACTTGACTCTCCCTCAGTGAAAAAAGCATTGAGGACTCCACTAACTGATTTCTTTCTTTCCAGATGTTGCCATGCCTGCAAGTTTCTCCAGCAATTTTTGTTTTTTCATCACCCTACATTTACTGTGAATGTTATGCCTTGTATTGTATCCTTCACTTGATTGTAGTAAATTATATTAATACTTGACCTCTATACTCTTTTTTTTTTTAATTTGTGGTTGTTAAACAGCAGTGCTGCTCTTAATACTTGACCTTTTTTTGTCAGGTACTAGAGCTTGCAGGAAATGCATCCAAAGACTTGAAGGTAAAACGCATTACCCCTCGCCACTTGCAACTTGCTATTCGTGGAGATGAAGAGTTGGATTCCTTAATCAAGGCTACCATTGCTGGGGGTGGTGAGTTAACATTTTAAGTCTATACTCGCTTAACTATTGGAATTTTCTCTTTATCCCCCTTCCCCACAAAACATTGTTCTTCTGGGTTGTGGTGTCCTCCCTGCTGATTATCTTCTTATTTTCAGGAGTCATTCCTCACATTCACAAATCCCTGATTGGCAAAAAAGGACAACAGAAGACAGTTTGATGGTGGAAACTTCCTTTTTGGTTCACTAGTCTCAGGACTCCATCTCCAAATAATCAGCTGTAGAATGTTGGAGGATCTGACTGGAAAGACACTGGACTTCTGAAATGTGATTACATAGACATTTTTATCTCAATAGTATTCAGGGGAGGGGTCTTTTTAAAAGTAAAGCTCAATAATCAAACTTCCATGTGCACTAGTCTGGGAAAGCCAAATCTGGGACCATATCCTCCAAGGTGGGACTGTATCTGGGTGACCTGGAGTTGTTTCCTGGTTACTGCCTTTTCATAGCATCTGTTGCAGTATTTTAAATGCAGGAAGAGCTCACTGCTTGTATGACTTTTATTTTTGAAGTGGATTTAAATCCAGATGGTTTGTTCTGACTGTTTGTTCTGTCTATTGGTGTATGAAGTTTTCAATAAAATGTATTAAATGGCTGTGTGACTTGTCTTTTATTTGGGAATGCAAAAGTTCCCTAGCTAACCATTGGAAGGTAGTTTGCCCAGCAACAAAGGCTCTGTCTAATGGCATGGATGGTGTAAGAGCTGCCAAGTGTTTTTAATATACCACTGTCTTTTGAAGTTTCCTTGGTGTGAAACTTTATTTGAAAGGTTTGGGAGAAATAAATGTAGCCTTGACAAGTCAGATTTTTTGGCTTCTGGTAATTCTCCCAATCCTGTCTGTCAATCACTTAACCAAGGTGCACAGAATTAAGTTTTTCTCTTTTTTTTTCTCTAATTATGATGCTTTGACCTGTTTCTTTGCCTTTTTACTAATAAACTGCAACAGTATATGGTCCCCTTCAAACAGCTTGTGCTATTTTGCTGCAAACAAATCCTGGTCAAAGATCTCATCCTGTTTGTCCTATTTCAGCCTTGCTAGCAAGTATAATTTGCTTTGTACAGTGAGGTCAGTAATTAACTCAATCACTGAACTGTAGAAATTAAAGTGTGGGTCCATTTAATCATGGGAATAACTTTAATATGCTGAAATGTGGCTGGATTAAGATGTAAACAAAGTTTGTCATCAAGCTTGTACCAGATGGTGAACAGTTGAACTTGGTCTATAAATACCAGATTGTGGTTAATGGAATCAATGAAGCTTTGTTCATTTTCTGATTTGATTTTTATCTGGGCCTTGCACAGAGTTTGATCCTTTGCCTGACTAACCAAATTATTCTCTTACCTTGCCTTCTATGTTTTAAATTGATTTTGATCACCCAACTTGCACTTTTTTTTTCAGTGCATTGTTTATCTTCCATCAGGAATACTGATTCTTTTTTCAGGTTTAATATTTTTTTTGAAAAGCTGCTGTTTTGTTGATGACTGACTTGGCCTGCAGGCTGGTTAATGTGAGAAAACTTCACTTTTTAGGCCTTTTCTGCAGGGCAGGGGGGTGTCTGCCCAAAACTGGAGGGAGGGCATACTTTTAAGGTGAGGAGAGAAAAATAAAAGATACCGGAGGGGTCACTGTTTCACATGTGCGTTCATCTTTTGGAATGAAACATCAGAGGAAGTGGTAGATGCAGATATAGTTAGAATGTTTTAAAAGACGTTGGGACAGGTACACAAATAGGAAGGCTTTAGAGGGGTATGTGGCAAATGAAGGCAATTGGGACTGATTAAATTTGGGGAATCTTGGTCAGCAGGTATGGGCTGAACCAAGGATCTGTTTCCACGCTGTAAGACTATGACTGACTAATGCTCACTTAGGTACAATATCATCCCCTTGAAGGCCATGGGCCACATGCTGGAAAGTGGGAGTCTAGGTTTAGTAGTTTTTGTGCAGACTTGATGAGTTGTAGGATCTCTACTGTGAATCTAATCTTGAAATCAAAACTGCTTGAAAAGTGGGTCCTAAGAAGTATTTGTAAAAGTGAGTTTTTGTTCTTTCAAATTCCTATCTTGGGTGGTAACCTGCATTTATCCAGCTACCACTGCCAATGGTGCCCTGCTTTCAGCTGTCAGGCCCTGGACACACGTTGGTTGCTTGCATCTTTCCTTTTCAAGACACTAAAACCTTCCCCTAAAGCAAGTTCTCTGAAGATCAATGTTTTATGTGGGTTGGTGTAAGATTTGTAGGAATTGCTCCTATGGATCACCTTTTGTACATGTTTAATTTCACTAATCTCTTTATAGAATACTTTGGCTAAAAGGCTGACACTTTTTGAAACAGTGACTCTAATGTACTCATCCACAAACAAACACAATTTCCATGTTGTTTACCTTGTCAAAAACCATAATGGATCATTTATGTCAATAAAGTCGCTCCTGTTAGAAACAAACCTAAGCTGTGCACCCTGACAGCCCATTCGTTTCAAATATCAATACAGTATACAGCCTTTGATAGAACCTTCCAAACCAATGATTGCTAGCACCTAGGAGGAGGGGGGCTGCAGATACATTGGAGCACCACCACCTACAAGTTCCCCTCAATGCACCACCTTGACTTGGAAATATTCTTGTCATTTCTCACTGTTGCTGGGTCAAAATCTTGGAACTCTCCTCTTAATGGTACTAGGTGTACATGAATCCCCAAACACCAGTTAAAGAAGTGAGTTCACTTATTTTAATGCAAGACATTTAAGGATGGACAATAAATGCTGACCTTGACATCCTTATTCCATGAACAAATTCAAAGTTCCTGGTTTCACCTGTGACATCTCAACACAAGTAGACTACTGGGTGACCATTAGGAGGCAAAAGGTATGAATCTTTTCACTCTTGGGATTCCTTACAGCATTCATCAACACCCTTGCTAGGATCAGTTTATTGTTTCCAGTCTTCTGAACCGATTCCACATATTAGAAGTTGCATCTACTAATCGCAGCACCCTCTCAAATGTGTAATTACAAAATATTCCTCCATAACCATTAAATTTCTTATAGAAACTTACATTAGGTCATACGGCTTTGTGTTTGTGATAGCTCTGTGGAAGAGCTATCCTAGTCTTCCCCAGTTTTTCTTCCATGTGTCTGCAAAATTAGACCCCTCCATGTCCAATTGCCTTTGAAAGTTTTCAGATACTTAGTCTAGTGAAACACACCTTTAAATTACTTTTGCAGAATTTTGCTCTTACATATCTTGTGTGGTTGTTTCTCTCCACCCCCAAATTGTATATCACTTTCTGCATCAAAAAATTTTAAATTTCATGAATTATTTCAAAAGTTTATTGGTATTTATTTCAGATCAATGGCCTCATTGCTTATTTCAGGTCAAGCAGCAGCTGAAGTGATGAGTACAATTCTGGTCAATATCTGTGGCCATTAAGCCCCAAACTCTGACTCTGAACGTTTTTCAGAAAAACAGTTGCATGTTGTGATGCCTGATACTACAATCTATGGAAATGACTTGGATCTGTAACAATCCTTAACAAAAAAAATGTTTTGAGTAGATCCCATAGGCGTTAGAAACAACACTTTGCTAGATAAGGGAAAATTCAACAATGCTTTCAAATAGACAAGTAGATATTAAGATGCATCACGATTGAACTTATGTTGGAAAGTAATTCTGCATATTTCAGAAATACAGTCACCTAGTGGTTATATAGTGGACTACAGCAATTCTGGGATTTGAACTAATGATTTGGAGTTATGAGTTTAATCTTACCACAACACCTGGAGATTAAATAAGACAAGTTAGTATCAGTAATGGGGACATTGAAACACGTGGTTCACTAATGTTGTTTGGCGAAGGAAATCTGCCTACCTTATTCGGTCTTATATACATGACTCCAGCTTCACAGCAATATTATTCAATAACACAGTATCACTTTTCCCATTAACGTTCTCAGCACCCACTCTGTGTTACCACCATATCTCCTGACTCCTGTTTCTAAACTGTCAGACTTTGTCCAAAATCCAGTATCGAAAGACCAGAAATTTTTTTAACTGAAACTCTGTTCCTTAGGAGCTGACTTCATTCATAGGAAAAGGAGCAGCCCCCTCAAGCCTATTCCACCATTCAATGAGATCATAGCTATCTGTGACTTAACTCCATATATCTGCCTTTTGCTAATATCTGAATAACTTTGCTTAACAAAAATGTATCTCATTTAAAATTCCTATTAAAAAAATAAAAATTGGAAAAACTCAGCAGGTTCTGTGGAGGGGATAAAGGGGTTAATGTTTTAAGATTGAGATGACCTGTAGACTGACTGCAGTGTCGGTGTTATATTTGGCCTGAGCTGAGTTATCATAAATTTGTGCCAGCACTAAGACCTAAAAAAACGATAACAAGAAATGATCCTGGGTCAGAATGTGTAGAATCCATACAGGTGGTGGCAAGAATTAAGAAGAACTCACTGGAGGGAGTAGTTTATAGTCCCCCTAACAGTAGCTATGTTGTAGGTCAAATAAATCAGGAGACATCTGAACTTGTCAAAAAAGGCATAACATTAACATGGGTGACTTTAATCTTCGTGTAGGTTCGGAAAATCAAATTGGCAGAGATAACCATGAGGATTTCTGCCTTTGTTGCCCCTCAACTTAACCATTCCAATACATCCCAAGCTTTTCTCAAACATTCTACCCTCTGTAAGTTTGAGGTCATCCCAAATTCTGCTGCTTGTGCCTTTACTATCATTACCATCAGTCCTCGCTCACCGACCTACAGTGACTCCAGGTTAAATAATACCTTGATGTGAACAGTTTCGTTCCTGCTGTGAAATCCTTCTGTAGCCTCTCATCCTCTAAGTCCGCAAACTATTCAAGACCCAGATGTTTGGGCTCCTCCTATTTTGTGCTAAATTATCACTCACCTTAATCACTGAGCCATGGTGCCAAGTATTTAGCTGCCAAAATCCTAAACACTGGAATTCTTTCTCTAAACAATTTCATCTCTTAGTAAGACTCCATTAAGACTCAGCAGGTCCGGCGGTAACAACGGAAAGAGAGAGAGAGAAGCAGTTAACAGTTCGAGTCCAGTGATCCTCTAAACTTTTGACCATCTGACCTCATATCTCCTTATGAGAATAAGGAGGTCTCATACAATATCTCCTGATGTGGCCTGGTGTCAAACCTTGTTTTAGTCAAAATGCGGAGGTGCCGGTGTTAGACTGGGGTGGACAAAGTCAGAAGCCGCGCGGCACCACGTTACCCTCCAAAAGGTTTATTTGAAACCACAAGCTTTCGTGGCGAAACCTGACGAAGGAGCAGCGCTGCGAAAGCTTGTGATTTCAGACAAACCTCTTGGACTGTAACCTGGTGTCGCGCGGCTCCTGACTCTGTTTCAGTAAACGATGCGTTGGGGTTGGTGGGGAAACGAGCGCCGCACTTCAAAGGCGCTCTATAAATGCAGCTTATTGTTGCCATCGAGGCGGGTGCAACAGATAAGTCTGGCTGTCATTGGCTCAAAGAGTCTGGGCGAGGAACTGACGATTCCTAACTTAGCACTTCACTTGGTGTCGAATTGTATTTCTTTAATAAAAAGATAAGGAATGTTTTTTTTTTACATTGAAGCAGAGCAGTAGAAATCTTGGTGTGTAAGGTGCAGCCTGTGCCTGGGTTTGCATCGACTGAGCCCCGGGGCTGCAGTCTCTGGGTGTGGAATCTGTTCATTTCCTGGTTAAAGTCGCCGGCTAAAGGAAGAGGAGGAGGAAGTTAAACCATGGAAGGGAATAGGGACGAGGCGGACAAGTGTTTGCAGATTGCCAGGAAAGCATTGCGGGAAGGGGAGCCGGAGAAAGCGCTCAAATTCCTCAACAAGGCGGAGAAGCTGTATCCTTCTGCCGAGGCGAAAGGTGAGGCTGCATGGCAGGGAAAAGGAGGGAGGGATCGCTGCAAAAAAAAATACAAGTGAATACACCGGGAGACGGCCCAGGGATTCGGCCGAAGGATTTCCTATGGGCAAGGATGGCAGCTTGGTTTGCGGAGCCACCACTCTGATGTTGCAGCAAACGCTGACTGCACCGGGGATCCAGCTGTCAATCAATCCCTGATTTCCCGGGATCCAGCTGTCTATCAATCCCTGATTTCCCGGGGACCTGGCTGTCTATCAATCCCTGATTCCAGGTCCCCAGCTGTCTATCAATCC